CCGGGGGCGCGCGGCGGAATCGGGGAGCGTCGCCGTGCCTCCCAGCTGCCAGAGGCCGGCCGGGCTCTTGTCCTGCCTGGGGTCGCTCGCGGTCCTTGCGGGCGCGCGAGGGCCCCGCTTTTCCTACTTGGCCTGCGGGTCTTTGGGGTTACTTGGGACGTCTCGCCTGGGTTTTCTGGTTGACGGGCTACTCTGACGCCAAGGAGTCGTAGTAGCCTTTGGATGGCGTAAGAGAGGCTTTCGATGCACGAGTGAGGTGCCTTTTTCAGGGGTTGCACTGAATCGTGGGGTTGCGACTGGCTGTATGGATAGTTTTTGGGCGGGGAGTCAGATTGGTTGGAACCTGTTATGTCTTATTTTTGCTTTTTGGAGTTCTGGTTTATTACAATGTGCTTTTTCTTGCTGAAGAGTATTCCTACCTACCTTCCTTTGTGGTGTTGGGTTGTTGCTCTGATAGTACTTTATTGCTCCGCGAGGCACTTAGGTTTGTAGTTTGCTGCTGCTGCCTCTGCTGATAAGAATATCCAGGGAGGGTAGGCTATTGCTGCTCTCTTCTTCTCTTCCACATTTAATCCCATAAAAGGAATTGAACTGGGGAGAAGTAGGATGGTGGTGCAGCAGATGGATTGGTTATTGTGGCATTCATTGATTTTTGGTTTTTACCGTCTGCTATCAATAGCTCAGAAATGGAGCGGCATATAAATTCTAGTTATAAATGAACTACTAGTAATACATTTCCTAACTTGCATATATATTACACCCAGAGACATACCAAGACAAATTAATACACGAAAACCTAAGTTCCTTTCTATCCACTTGTTTATTTTTATCACTTCATAAGGGAGAAGCCGTGGTCTGGCAAGTAAGCTACAGTAATTGCATCTGTAGGCGCTTGGTCTCTATCATATAGCAAAATCAGTGAGGAACAGTCCCGCTCAGGGACAGCTGCTGCAAATGCACTGGGTTGAGAATCTGGGCGTAGCTTTATTTTTTCAGCTGGAGGGGGGCAGGCAGATAGCTGGAGGGGCAGCTGGCCTTGCTCACGAAGGCCTTCTCCTCACAGGGTTGTATTAGTGCTCTGATCCTCAGTGGTGGTGCAGGTGCCCTGAGCTTTCCCCTCGACGTGGGAGGCGGCTGCTAGAGTTTCTTCACTCAGGATGTTGCGCAACACAGCAGTCAAGGAGCGCCGGATTTTGTCCTTGAAGTCTTGGCCTGCTATGACGTAGATGATGGGATTGATGCAGCTGTTGGCATAGGCAAGAGCCACGGCCAGGGGGTCCAGCTCGTTCACCAAAAGAAAGAGGGGACTCCATGAATTATTACTGGCCTGGATCAGGCCAGCCACGTGATAAGGAGCCCAGCAGATAAAAAAGCCCACAACGACCACCAGGACCACTTTCAGGGTCTTTTTGGAGCGTGTGAAGTGACTGCTGCGTACCCGCAAAACCAGCAGCCCATAGAAGAGGCTGAGGGCCACAAAAGGCATGAGGAAACCGCAGAGGAAGCGAGTGACTGCCACAGCAATTTCAGCAATTCTGTGATTGCTACCAAAGATGCCATAGTCAACCATGCACACTGTCAGGTTATAATACTCATAGTATTTGGTCATTCTGGTCATGAAGGAGGGCAGAGTGAGGAAGACAGCAGAGGCCCAGGCCACACCACACAGCTTCCAGGCTAACCGGGTCGAACGGTGATTCTGGCACCAGATGGGCTTCACCACAAGGGCACACCGATCCATGCTGATTAGGGCCAGCAGCAGGATGCTGGCAAACATGTTGAGGATGATGAGCGAGGGCAAGAGCTTGCAGGTAAAGTCTCCCAGCACCCAGCTGTTCTCAGAGCCTAGGGACATGGCCAAAACAGGCAGAGGCAGGCAGCAGAGAAGGTCTGCTACGGAGAGATTAAGGAACCAGACTGAGCTCACTGTGCGCTGCATCTGGAACCCCACAACCCAGATGACAGCCCCATTGCCCAGCGTGCCAACTAGAAACACCAGGCCATAGAGGACAATAGCCACCAGGGCGACTGGACTCAGGCTTCTCTTCTCTATGCTGAGAGGTGTCTCTGAGAAATTAGAATATGAATAATTATATTCATAATCCATCTCCGAATGGTGGGGAGTTCTGCAAAGAGACAAGAGAGGAGATGGGTGTTAGCAGCCTTACAGCCCCCAAGAGATAGAGCCAGATTCATCTCTATCGTAGACTCAGAACAGGCGCACCTCTGTTGCTCATCACTGTAAGGCTGTTGCTGAATCTAGTATTCCCTGTTGGATGAAGGGGTGTTTAAAATCTTGAATTCTGTAAAACGCCCTGCTGTGATCTCAAGGTAATTTTGTTTTCATTTATCACTGAGCAAGGAAAGACAATAGGGTCCCTCTCCCGTAAGCCCATTTGCAGGAAGCCACTCAACCTCCAGAAAGACCCAGTGCTCCAGACCAGAGAGGTTGTGGCTGTGCTCACGTGAAAGGTGTGGCGTGGCTGCTCGGGTGTTCTAGTCTCCAGGCAATAAAAAGCCATGCTTTTGCAGTGTAAGAGGAGTGGCTGTCCATAGCACACCAAGATGTGGCACAGACTCTGAAACAGCCAAGACAGGAGGAGGAAGAGGAAGAGCATCCAGGGCCAGACTTCAAAGACGCTCCAACTGCTGTGGAATTAGGAAGCTATTCATCCTGATTATCTATTTGTTTCCTCTGCTTTTAGTTAAATTTCACCCCGTGGCATCCATGAATGTAATATTTGGGTTTGGTTTATTAACTCCTGTCCTGTTCATTAAAGTAAAAGCAGCAGAACGTCTTCTCGAACTGCTCTTCCAACAAACCCAGGGCTAGTGTAAATGTTTTACACCCAGGGTTTTTTTCTCTGGGGCAAGTTATGTCTTTCCCTTAAGAATCACTGCTTCCTTGAACAAGGAAATTTTGTCTGAAGCCATACTTTTTGTCCCCAGATAGTCAGAATAAGCTATGGATTATTGGAGGAGGGGCAGATTCCATTACAGAAGATTCAGGTACTGAAAGAGCTGAAAGAAAAACAGATCTCTAAATCGAGATGAATAGGGCAAGAAACATCCAGAGCCCTGGAAAGTCAAACTGAAAGGAAACAAATGACAGAAGATGGACTTTTAAAAGAAGAAGGTGGCAACTTCATTGTGCTTTTGTTTTCACCTCAACCCCACGTGAGAAAAGGAGTCCCGGTTCTTGGTATTTATTAGATTACGTTCCACCTTTATACAAGGAGGCCTACGGCATCACCCCTTCCTCCAGTTTTTCTCCATAGCAAAAATCCTGCGAGATAGGGCTGAGAGAGGGTGGCCAGCCGAAGGTCGCTAACCACTGTTTTAGGGTTTGAGAAGCTGGATGCAGTGCAGGTTCTGGGTTATTTTGTGGACAGTGATAGAATAGAACAATTTCATTGTCATTTTGTTTAGTCGTTAAGTCGTGTCCGACTCTTCGTGACCCCATGAACCATATTGCGCCAGGCCTTCCTGTCCTTCACTGCCTCCCTGAGTTTACTCAGTTTCATGCTCATTGCTT